TTCTTAAAATAAATCCATAAATCTATTTAAATAATAATAATATAATAAGAATATAATATAAATATATTATTTGATATTTATTGTTTGGGTACATATTTCTCACATCCCTATTGAGAAAAAGGTGCTGGGATCCAGCTAACCCATTGAATGCGTTTGTCAACCAAGGTTGTAAAAGGATATAAACACGAACCCATTCGCCCATACAGTCAGCCACTTGTCAGTTCTAATTGACAATAGAAACTGAAACAGGCCTTGGGCGGAAAAGGGAAAAAGGGAAAAAGGGAAAGTGACCGAGTGGGTGGGGCTTTTCACAAATCTCCGTCCCGTACACGAGGACAAGTCGACCCTCGTTGAAACTCAATCAAACGCCCACGTATTCGGTGAAAAGTTCAAACAATGAAGTTCCTGCCACTTTCGAGAAGCGAAAATGCTGCTGATACTGATACCAAAAGACCGATGCTGATGCTGATGACGATGCGAATGCGAATGCTAAAGCTGCTGCTGGCCTCAGTAAAATAGACAATTTTGCACACAAATCCATTTAATCTTGAGATAAATAACATTTAGGGCTGGGCTCAACAGCACGCCCGCGCTAAATGTGAGACCTACACCAACACTTAGAAAAATGTAAACAAAAAAATATTTTTTAATAAAATCTGTAAGTTAAACAAGGTTAAAAAGCATTGAGTGACAAATATTTGATTCATAAAAAAACACTATCAAAACATAAAATTAAAAACATACATTTCACCGAGTTTGGCTCTTTATTGAAAATGTAACAAAAATAAAACTAAAGAAAATAATTGTCAATGGTGTTACTACAGAATGTTTTACCATTTAATATGTTAATTGTGTTTTCAACGGGGTTGGTTTCGTTGGGCCACTTGTTTGTACTGTTTATAGTGCATCAACGTTCAACAATATACGATATTCCTTAAGAAGAAAAACAACAAAGTGTTTGCTTTAAATGTGTGTTTTATATTAAATAGAATAAAATAATTTTATTATATTAAAATCATTTATTTTCTTTTCACTTTTTGGTGACTTACATTTAAGATAGCAATATTTAATACATAGCTTAATTTTTTCATTTATTAGGAACAACCGGTGTTAAAACTTTATTGACCAAAATATTACCATACTTATTTTTATAGTGCACTCGAAATGCCCAAAAGGTCCTTTTGGGGGGCACTTAACGCACCCGGAAAACTCTTACGCAGCAACCTAATGATTCCCCTGCAGATCCTGCGGTCCGCCCACAAAATGGCTGGCAAGGACCTTCGGCTCAGTTGCGTTTCCGTTTCCCATTCCTTCAGTATCCGCATCCACATCCGCATCCACATCCGAATCCGTTCGCATCGATTTGTGTGAGGCGGCAATAAAATCCTCTGTGATTAGGTTAAAACTGTTGACTTTCAAACAGGGCTGATGTTTTGCCTTTCCATCGAGGGCGAATCAAAGTGGTTAACCCCCTTGAATGACTGGGAAAATCGAAAGAGATAAAAATACCCAAATGGCATTCGGCACCAGAATCAAATGAAATGTGATTGTGTCGCACTCCCCGCTGTCTTTCGACTCCTTTCGCCCCCCCCTCTCTGTGTGACACTCATTTATTTAATGGTTTTAACTTCCAATTTTCCAATTGTCAGACGTGCAGCTTGGTTAGAAACCAAAAAAACGTATTACAATGGAAAGTGCTCTCGAATAGAAAATGTATGGTTAGAGTAAGCCAAAAACGAAGTTTCGGTACTCTTTTAACCAGATTAGAATCTATATTGGTTAATATGTAAGTAAAATTAGTAGTAAGATATAGCCCACTTAAACTTACAATTTTAATGGATTTCTTATGACTTAATCAAAGGAAATGAGTGAAGGGGGTAGTTTTATTGCTAACTGAAACGTGTTGTTAAAACATAAGAAACTAATCAAATATTTAATTGTATTTAAACAGCAAAATTAACTTAGATGTCATAGCAAAAAGTAAACTGCTGCCTTCATTATAAATTCTGGGCCTATTTCTTGCTTAAAGCAAATTGAATGTATGACATATTCAATTAATTTCACACAAAGCATCATATTATCAAAATTCATTAGGAAACCAAAACTATTCAACAGATCGATTGCGATTTAATTTAATAAAACCTCATATATATGCAACAAAATTTTCATCGCCTGTTCTGCGTGAGTAGGCAATTCAAATACCATTTAACCAAACACTACTTTATTTATCCATAAATTAAGCTGTCAACTTCTGATTTCAATTCAGCACGTCAATCAATGGAAAATGGAAATTTTATGCGATTGAGTGAAGATTATAATAGGGTTGAGGTTCGGAAAATTAACTAGCCAAACCCAGCAAACCGTTCGTTATACCTTAGAAACGCTTCACATGCCAGTGAATAATGTGCTGATGCTGCTTTTGATTTGTGCCACTGAAAATGTAGGGAAAATCCGCAATGGAAAAATGCCCTTACGAGCTAATGAGTTTCAAATAAATATAATAAATGTGTGCACGTGTGCGAGGATATAAAATGCAAAATCAGTAGGACAGACTAAAAAAAACAAATGAACAAAATGGCACACTAAAGTTTACAAATGCAAATAAGATACTAAGCAAAGTCAGCAGCAACAAATATGTCATACGGCTGGGGAAAGAGACAGCGACAGGCGACAGACAGAGATGGAAATGGCAACGGATAGACAGATGCAAATGAGAGAAAGGGACGGGCAGGCAGCAAGTGAAAGAGATAGGACAAACTGACAAGCGAAAACATTTATGAGCGCTTCGTCTGTCTGTTGTTGACTTATACAAAAGAATTGTAGAATATTTTTTAGCTATATGTGAGTATGCAAAATATTCCATGACGCCCATACCATATGCACAGAAAGCATTTTTCCATTTTTATAAGCTGATCCTAGATTTAGAATTTGATTATATGTTTAGAATTATGTCTAGATAATTCTGCCTGAAACTTGAAATATCCTTTTTTTATAGAAGTTGGTTTTTTTATAACTATATTCATATTCATTCAAATATTAATTTTCAAATGAGGGCTTTGTAAAATTAATTTGTGTTTTTAAATAACAGTAATTTTAAAATGATATATGTACAAGGCATATTTTATTTTTAGAGAATCGAAAACATTTTTAAAATAAGGATTTTTATCAAGATTGTGATGCATTTAAAATTTACCAAAAAATCTTGAAAGTTAATTCTTGTATTATTTTTAATTGAAAAGCCTGTGTAATTATTAAAAAAAAAAAACATCTTAATAAAAAAAATGTTTGTATTTTTAAAAAAATGTAAGTAATAATCAATAAAATATTACTCTAAATACTCTTAGTATTTTGGATACTAACATAGTTTCGTTCTAACACCAAAAACATTATAAGTTTCAGATGAGCAAGGAATATATAAAAGTCTTTTTGGCATAGACTTCAAGGACACGAAAAATATCCTATTTTTTTCTGTGGACGTGTATGGCACACGCATACTCATGTAGCTACAAGCTGTAGCTCAAACACAGGAAATGTAATTTGCATAAGAATAACAGACAAAAAGGGGGAGGGGAAATTGGGGAAAACAGGAGGCAAAATCGTGGCGAAAACCATGTGGATGTGGCTGCCAAGATATAGAGGGGCATATGGCACACATATTGAAGTGTAGTCTATATGGCATGCGAGGAACGGGGCCTGAAGTGTCCTTTAACGAGATTTGCATCTCATCATAATAATGTAAATGACGAACAGGGCCAACAGAGGGAAATGCAAAGGGTAAGCAACAATTTGGGCTAGCCAGGCACAAGTTGGCCAAAAGGGTTTTATATTTAAGACGAGATTACATATATTACATATCGCAATGAGGACCATTCACTTTGGCTTAACGGCGTCGAAGCGATTCAATTAGCTTAACCACTTTGGATTAAATTGGGATTTGGCCAGCAGCAACAGTTGAAGCTGTGCAATTGAGTACGGGTGGTAACACGGCAAAATTCATTGTTTTCGACTCATCTGCCGCAGGCACCACTCAAATGGTTTTCCGATTTAAACAAGTGCATATCGCTTTCAGTAGTTAACATCATAAACTTCTTCCACTTGAGTACCTACACCGAAATACACATTTAAAGCTACTATTCTTATTTTATAATTGTTTTAAAATAAGTTTTATAGAAAGGAGTCAGAAATTGTATTTTTAGATTTGGAATACAACGAAAAAGGCATTTGAATTTGGTTAAATAAAGACAACTTAATTGATTTATTTATATGTACATTTAAGAAAAACCAAAACCACATAAATTAATTGATTAACAATTGCATAAGAAACAAAATGTATGTTCTGTGTCAAAAACAGACATCTTGAGGACATTAAAAAGAATTGTAAAGACGTTTAGCGCAGTTGAGTTTCAAGGAGCATATTTGTATAAGCAGTTTTTATATGACAAGTATTGATGAACATGTTTCGTACTTATGCACACAGTTTCTGGTTTAAAAATAAGAATAAAATAAAAGTTTATTTTTAAAATCAAAACAGTTACGCGGCAAGATAACCAAGACAAACGAAAACTTATATCAAAAACGAATAAAACAAATATGTGGTGAAGTCATAAAAATCAATATTGCATGAACAATAAATTTACTATTAGTAAAATCCTTAGGATACGCAACAAATTTAAAAATTTAAGATGGTAATAGATTACACACTAATAAATTTATTTGGTTGTGCAAATTCAGGTACTATTTGTTTACTTAGAACTCCGTCAAATGACGTTATTCTTTTGTTTCTGGGTCTAAAGGTTAAATTAAGATTTTTCAACGAAAATTCTCTAACTCAAACTTGGCAGGTTCTAATATTTGCATATTTTAAGCAAATAGATGTAACAATCTATTTTTTATTAGATAGATAGCGCATTTGCATAGAAATGAGAAATATGTGAGGAGACTAATCGCTATTTAAAAGGCGAGTTGGCCTCAGATCTGTTTTAGTTTATTTTTAGATTTCTAGAGGTTACAACTGAAATGAGGATCTTCTGCGTTATTCTTTTGCTTGGTAAACAGTTTTTTTGTTTTTTTTTTTAATATAATATGAATGTATTTTTTCTGTAGCTTCTTTAGCACTTAATTCCTGTAATGCGGTGAGATGTGTTTTAACGTGTCATACATTGGCTGGCGACTACACGTCCGTTGAAATATAATCCAAGAGCACAGCTTTTGAATTTGATTTCCTAAAGCAAATAATAGATGTTGGTAATGTAGGTTAAAAAAAAACTAGTAATTAATTTAAAAGCGTTTTGCAGAGCTTGAATAATAAGCAGACATGTGCATAATGGAAAGTGAACAAAGAAAGAATCTATGAACAATTAAAATTTTAATCGATTTTCTTGTTTTATTTAAGCTTGGCAGACTGATTATGATAATTGTTTGGTAAATAAATTAAGAAAACTTTGTTGTTATGAGTTAAGGCCTTAATTTAAATTCTAATCGTTTGTCCTCATTTTAACATTAAAAGATTTTGTGAGTTGTTAAGTACCTCATTAATGAAATAATAACCCTTTTTCTTTCACAGACATTTTTAATGCGTTGTTTGACATTCACTTTCTATTCTTTGCAAATAGAAATAGGCAACCCCATTAAAGGACCTGAAAATAATGTTGCTTGCTCTAAATCGCACTTTTTTTGTTATCCTGTCTTATATTATTTTGAACACTAAATGTGTTTTTGTCGATACTGCTTAAGTACAATTCCTTTTTATGGTTATACATAGGTGATTTTTCACCTTTGGTTAAGGTAAAGTACAAATTTGTTTCGGCTAAATTATTTTTAAAGAACTGTATGTTGTAACTTACGACAGAAAACATACGAACACTTATTTTGTGCTCGCTAAATTTATTTTAGACTTCAGCTTGCTACAATTTCTTATTGGAATCTAACGAATCTTATTGATGGGTATCAGTCGAGAATAGTTTGCCATCCAAGAAATCCTTTCCAAATAAAATTCCTTGAAAGTCTTGGTTGCCAATCATTTATTTACTTTCGATAGCGCGCAAGTTTAAGGTTAATCCGACATTTGTTTCTGGCTGTTGCCTTTTAAAGTATCACCTTATTGATGGCTCGATGGGGGGAATAGTTTTGGGGGGCGGGGCAAACCCTTTAGATCGGGCCGTCACCTACGGCATGGCAATTTATTTCGCAACACTCCCGCTCGACGCCAGGGCAAAGTTTGGTTTCGAGGTTTATGGGCGATGGCTTCCAGAACTCCGGCCACGTCCAATATCCAACCATGCACGCAAAAGTTTGCCAAAAACTTCTCTCGAGTCTAACAAATTCAATTTGTCAGGCTTGGCGCGCCTCGGAGTGCGGCTAATCCATTTACAATTTGAAAGTAAACAAACAAAATGTATCCTCAGCTCGAGCAGCTCGGCATCAGCTCGACGAGACATTTTAGCCCCGGTTTGGTGCTTGGTTTTGAGTTTGAGTTTTCGTTGGGATTTCCAATGAAAATGCAGCGGAAACTTTCCTCCCAACAGCCAGCAGTTTCAGTCGAGAATTTATGCAGTTTTCGCTGCCTACACATTCACACTCAAACTTAAATACTAAACACTTTTTCTAAAACAAAAACTAGAATACCAACAAGGAGTATTTCCCAATTATTTTGATATACATGATGCATTTCGCGCAAGTTTTAAAGTTTTCTGTTTCTTTTTTATATTTTCCTATCTGCAAGAAAAAAAGTTTCTTCTAAGAATACTAATTCATTTGAACAAAGAGGTAAGTTAAGATAATTTTTTGTTATTTTATGAAAAATTTAAAAAATAAATGTTTGTTTTTTTATTCAACGTCTACAATTTAAAAACAATTCCTTAAATTCTGACTAAAATGTTTAGTGTACTTTCTAAAAATATTCATTTTAATTTATTTTAGAGTAAATTACATTTTTTGTTGAATAAATACTAAATAAAAGACAAGTACTAAACAAATACAAAATTCTTAAAGTCTAATACTTTTTTAGTAAATAAATAAAAAAAAAAGGGTTACTACAATTTTATAATATATTTTTCTGAGTGTAGGACGAAACTAACGACACGGCACTTGAGTAAAATAAAAACTCCCATTCTTCTTCCACTTTTCGCCTTTGCCAAAATAGACAGCTGGATGGTGGGAGGGCTTCCCGGAAGTTTATGCGCCTTTAAAGCAGCATTTGCTATTCTTTTATATTCTTCCTCAAACTTTGTTTGCCCCTGAATCGGACCAAACAAAAGGGAAAACTGTGTGGCAAACTAAAGCTGTGCGTTCCCAGTGCAAAATTACTTATTCAGTGGGCGAACCAACCTGGCAGGCCACATTTAAGTTGGAATTGGTTTTTAGGGCTTAAGTTCTTAAGTCTTCAAAATCAGATTTAAGCCTTGATTTATGAGTTGTGAAGAGGGAAATTATGAACACTGAACGTTGCATAAATATTGCTGGACTTAGCTTATAGTTAGGCTGATTAAATTGTTGCCAACAACGACTACAAATTTTTATTAAAGTTGTTCACTGTTTAATCAATCAAATATTGCTCATACGCCCTGGAGTCACGCCTAAATGTTGTGTGCCAAAAATGTTTGAACTTAATCAACTGCTTACAAATTAATGGCTTAATCTGGAATAGAAAATAAGTGGCTGTAGAAAAAATTCTGTATTAAAGACATTATTTTAGGACTAAATATTGCGCATACGCCCTGGAGTACATATTGTTTATATAAATCGTATAAATATTTTTAATTGTTCATTTATTATTTAAGGCAAGCATTCTTTATTAAGACTTAAATTACTCCTAGCTTAAAAGCTGCAAAGCGGTCAATTAAAAAACGCGTATACGCCCCGTGAACACGATTTCCTCTTAACCTGAATTTAATTAAAAATTGCCAAGCATTAAACGCTGTTTTCCATTCGACACTTAAAGTGGATATTGAAATAACAGCCTTCAATCGCGTATTGTTTAAGTGGGCAAGAGCCTCCTTTACAAATTGGTCAACTTTATAACGCATACGCCCCGTGGACACGTTTCATTTTCGATGGCCGGGAATTTACCTGGAAATTAAATTTGAGAATTTTGCATCGCGGCAAGAAATCTATATATAGGTATATACTGAAAGTATATGAGCCTCGGTTTTTGTGTGTATTTGCATGTAATGCCAGCGGCAGTAATTTCTTGTACAACAATTTGTGAGTCTGCTGCGCTCAGCACTCACGTAATGAGCATAAACTACAGGCACAAAAAGGACAGCAGCCACACACAAACACGGGAACACTAACGCCGAGATGGCTAAGAGAATATCGCGCTGCCATGCACATAATTGGTGCAAAAAGTTAGAAAATTATCACGGAAGCAAAGCCGAAACACGTACATACATCAGCGACAGCGGACGCAAGTTGGCATAATGTGAGAGGGCACTTCCCCCGATCCTGCACTCTGAAAAAATCCAGGCTTTAAGTCCGAAGACTTTTTAAATTTATCTTAGGACTTTGAAGCAATTCTATATGTCAATAAATACAATAAAAACAAGAAGGTATTCTTTTTAAAATTTAGTTTTATTATAATCATTACAGAGTCGGTTTAATGATATCGATACAATTAATTTTCTTAATGACTGTTGCCACTTTAAAATCTAAAATATTTTTTTAATTGCTTGAAAAATTATGCCTTCTCTAATTTTTTGACAAAAAATGTAAGCTCAATATATAATTTTTAATTCTCCATTATTTAGTCAAATAATATAATAGTATTTGAAAATGTTTGAAAGGTTTGATATTTGTTCTCAAGATTAAGGAATATTGTTTGTTATTTATGCTTATATACGTATTGCTCATTATTTACCATAAAATTGTTTGTGTTATTTATGCAAGAAAAACAGATAGAGTCAATTTTTAAATATTTTTTCTTTTTGAAGTTATAATTTAAACGGTATTTTTTATAATGGTTTTCTTTGTTTTGAAAAACCTTCGATTTAGCGACTGATAATTTTAAACTAATTTGTATATAACTTGAGTAACGTTTTTTTCAATGTTTTCCCTTCGTTTTCCAACGTTTTTAGGCCATTTTAAGGCGGAACACCTTGTAACCCGGGCTGAGCCTTAAATAAGCATTGCCCGGAGCAGGGTTCTCTTCGCCTTTGGGCAGCCAGCGGCCAAAATTTATTGAAGCGAAGGCGGCTGAACTAATCCCCGACCCTAATTACTCATAGAGACCGTAGGTTACAGAACTCGCTCAACAATTACACCCGTGGCCCGTGTTAAGTCTTATCCCTCGAAAAAAAAAAAACAAAAACGGAAAGGCGGAAAATGTTTCACTTTATGTTAAACTGAAGAGTTTCCGCTTTTGGTTTTTTGGGCAGGCAATTAGCTCAGTCATAGTGATTAAAAAGTGGAAATGCTAGAAGTCAAGTTGATTACCTGCCGATTACAATCTAGCAATGTTGGGCAATACTAACCATATTTAGTGGCTAAAAAGAAATAAGTTGGGCACAACCACTTCATTTTAAGAATATAGGAAATATTACAACCTGTTTTCACCACAGACAATAAGGACAATTAAAAGGCACTTCTGGAGGAAAATAGCAGACCTTCTGTTTGAATGCAAATTTAAATAATTGATTGGGTCATAAAAACAAAAGCCATTTTAATTATTGCATTTACCAATTTTATTTTGAACACAAAAATCTAAGGACAAAAACTGCATCATAATAAATTGCTCTAAAATGTATTTTGATCTTTATTAAAAAAGCATGATAAATTGTCATATTCTGTTATGAAAGTTCATTCAATGACAGACTTAATTTAACTGCAAATGTGAGAGAATTAATTAATTTCACCCACTTCTACCAGCAACTCGCACACCATAATTCAAAAAAGTTCATTCGGTATGCCCCAAAGACATGTTGATTCACATTTAATTTAGTGTAAAAAGCAACTTCTTTTTCATTATATTTTATGTTTACCAACTAATAAAAAGCAAAACGTTTCACTTAACGCCAAAACTGGGAAGACTTTGAGCCCCATGGGCGACTCGGAATTACACTGGCCTGCAAGAGTGCTATTAAGTGTGCACTGGGTGGTGTTTCTGTGTGTTTGCTGGCCATTAAAAAGTTTTCCTTTTCCTCGACCGTTTCCCTGCTGCTTCTGAAAGTCGGTTACCGGGTGGATACTGCTCCTGATTCCGATTCAGATCCGGGTGGTGCTGCCATTGGCACCTGTGTGTTGCCAGTTGCACCGGCAACTGAAAATACGTTTGCATATGAATTTTTCAAAATGTTTTTTTGCGTTGACCTCGTTTAAGGGTCAGCGGGGCTATGAAAAGTTTGCCCTGCTAACTAAATTGCCGTTTGCAGCTGAA